CTATGTCTTTTAATTAGGCATGGTAATTAATGAACTACTGCATGGGTTCAAAATTTCATTGTTCCCATCACCCATCTCCTTCCACTTATGACTGTATGACTGTAACTTTGTTACTTGTATCCTTACGATTTATATTGATATTGTTCCAGCTGCCTCCTCACCGTCAGACCCTGCCCAGTCAGAGTCCAGGCCGTCCTGAATCTGAGCGATCTTATCCAGCAGATGCTGACTAAATTCCTCGGCACATCCCTGCAAAGGATCGTCCCCCGCCCTCCGATTTAGGAAGGAGCGGGACACCCTGAACAGGGCGGTCGGGCGATTATCTGCAGATGCGATGAGGGCGGAGAAGTATACTCGCTTTGCCACCTCCATCGCCACCAGATAGGATCGTGTAAACAATCTCAACTGGGAACGGTCAGATTCGGAATGGCTGGATCTCCAACCGCTCTCTAGGCCTCTCCTACGGCGCTTCATCTCCTGGAGCTCCTTCGTAAACCAAGGAGTCAACTGGAAATTTACAGCTGAGTTTAAAATTTAAAATTTACTCAGCTGTTTAGTTTAAAAGGGAAATCACTGGCTTGTAAAACTTCCAATTTATATCAATAAATACTTTCAGGGCAAGAACTAATAGCTAAAAAGAACAAATAATAATAATAACTTATTTTGGGGGTTCATTTCTAATCTTAATCCACATTTCTGAAGGAGTCAATCTCGACAATTGTTTTTAAGGTTTTCTGAGGGGTTATTTGGTTTTAAAGTAAACTCTTACTGATACAGGAGTGGATTCTCGTCTCCTTCCTAAAATTTCTTCTGTTTCTCCCTTGGAGATTGCTGATATAGTTGGACAGCTGCACTCCATGACTTATGCTTTGACCTTGTGACCTTCTCGGCTCCTTTTAAAAAAGAATCCCTTTCAGAATAAAAGATGACTTTGGTTGTTTTTTTTTTTTTAAAGCAACTTGCTAATTACAGATAGCTTCATTTTAAAGAAGACTAAATGATTCCTGTTCATTATCATATTTTTTTGGGTGTGTGTGTGTCAAGGGTCCATTTCATTCTAATTGGAATTCTAAAACACATACAAAATAGTTCACCTAAGCTGTCAATGTTCTACCACTCTATTTTTATTTGACTGTTTTGTTTTGTTTTGATTTAACCTTTCCTAATCTGGTACCCTCCAGAATGATTAGATTATAACTCCTATGCTGGCTAGAAAATTTAGAACTATAGTAGTACCAGACATCTGTAGGGCACCAAGTTGGGACTTTTAAAATTAAGCCAACTTGTTTAATTTCAAAAGTATCCAGAAAATCAGATAATAGGAATCAGGATGTCATGCTCAAACGGATAAGTATCAGGATTGTGGCTCAATGGATAAATTACCTCTGAAATTAATAGTAATCACACCCCAAGCATCACTTTTGTAGTTCCTTTTAAAAAAAGTTAACTATGGCTATTAAAACTGATAGAGAGTAAGGGAGAATTACTTATAAAAACAGGAAGACTAAACCTGACATGAGCTTAAATGCTTTAATAAAACAACACACTAAATTTAAGAGTTTTAAATATTGACATGAACCTTTCACGCTGCTGCCTGAATTAGAATTGCACTCTCTAACCATAACCAACTACCTGCCAAGAAGGAAAGTCTCTATGTGGAGGGGAGGACTTTAAAAAAAAAAAAAATCTGAGCTGTATGCACTATGCAAATTGGGGCTGGTCACAAACTCCCACTTTATTACTTTTAAATATAAAACTGAAACTTAATGTTCATACATTAAAAATATATGCTTTTAAAGAACAATCATCATGCCCAGTTTGTCCTACAGTAGGGGAAAATACAGAGGAGATTGGATGGATCTGGTGTTGCAACTGTACTGAGTTTTGGGATTACTGCCTGGTTTTTGAATTAAGTGAGCAGTGCACTATTTGTTCTTGATGCACATGCACAACTCATTTCATTCCAAGGTACATCAACCTTGAGGACCCAGTTTGTGGGGGCAATAAGCTGACTTTGTATAAATATACAAAAGTATGAAGGCTATTGCTTAACGCATTGTAAGCCGCCCTGAGTCTCCAGAGAAGGGCGGCATATAAATCAAATTAAAATAAAAAAAAAAATCTATACATGGAGCCCTTCCTTTCCAACTCAATCCCAAGGCATGAAAACAATTTTAGGAAATCCGGTGTCCTCTGCCTCAATGCATGAAAAATTCATCACAGGCAACAGAGCTGCTCTGGCCACAGGCAAATTTTGGTTGAGATATAACTACTTATTTAGCTTTTGGAAATGAATTTTTAATCTATGTTGCAAATAAGATTTTAAAACAAAACCATTAGAAGTGATTCATACTTGATTGGTACTTTCCTTCTGGCTTTTCCCATTCTATACAATTTTAACAAAACCTGCATGCTGAGCCTGCATCAGGGATTGCTTTAATTCGTTGCCCTCACCGCATTTGCTGCAACCTTATTCTTCTCCTGCTGGTGGGCCGTTATCTTTTCTATACCTTTCACAATAATGCGAGGTGGCAAAGTTCTATAATTATGATAAGTCACTTATCAAAAGCATTTTCTGCTTAAATGGCAACTTCTCTAAAACTGGCATGTTACCCCGCTCAATCTAAAGGGTTCTTCATGCCTAATCTATCATTGCCTTGACTTGATGAGCTAGCAGAAACAGCGGTAACAATCAGGAGCTAAGTAGATTCATCAAGAATAATTCATATGGCAGTGCTTTATTTAATATGAACTATTTGATATAATTAATTTAAAAACTGCACTTATCCTTCAGAGTCAGTAAAATGGATGTGAATTTGGTGAATCCAGAAACAAAAAAGCAATTTGTACTAAACAGACAAAAATCAAGACAAAAGCTATTTCCTTTGGATACTTTTAAAGTAAAGTGAAAGTGATTTATTATTAACACATACACACACATGTGAATCGGAATTGGTCATGCTCAGATTGTTGTTTATTTCTACATTTGAACAGAATTTTCTTACTACATAATAAGATAAAATTCCTATAGAGAGGTCACTTGATACCTGGACCTTCAAGATTTTGAAGTTTGTGAGCCAAGATGTTTCTGTTTTTACTACTGCCTTCACATCTCCTCTGGCCACAAATCCCAGGAATTACAAGTGGAATAAAGAGGAAGTAGTAGGGTCATCTTTAATTTCATATCAACTGCATAAGCCAATGGGTAGCCAAACTGAGCAGGTGGTCTAAGATAGGGAAGATTGGTTAAGAAATAGTGGAGCTAATGCCAAGAACTCCTGTGATGGAGTCTTTGGGCAGAGAGGGGTTTTTAAAAGGAAAATCTCCTTTAAAGCATGGATTAACATTATAGGGCAGGGGTGTCAAACTTGCATCGTCACGTGATGTATTGTGATTTTTTTCCCTTTTGCTAAATCATGGATAGCATGTGATGTATCCGGCCCACTGGCTGCAAGTTTGACACCCCTGTTGTAGGGCCATTAAGATATTAGGGGTATTTAGCACTGAGACAAAAAGTTCATAATTGAACAGGTTTGAAATATACCTTGGCAAGAAAGTTGCTCATAGCTTCAAAATCCCACTAAATAGTGGGTGACCCTTGCTAATAATGTACTAGATCTTTTTGTGACCCATGAAAATTGCTGCTTTAATCATCTAGATCTAAAACTGGTCTAAGTTTTCTACTGGCCTTATATAATTCATGCAAAAGCCTTAGAAGGTTTGTTACAATGACATCCTGATATTTATCCCTTTGCTTCAACCTAATTATTCCCTTTCTATCATATGTTTTTTGTTTTTGTTTAAAAAAGAACAGAACAAAACAGTAAATGATGAACTGAACTGTATTATAGCATTTCAAACGGCTATAGGAAGTCATTCTTGTATTTCAGCATTAGCCTGCTAGCAATAGGTGACCAGCAGTTCCAAGTCGGCAGGTTAGCAGGCGTCTAGAGAAAGATAATTATTTCTTTCACATCCTATATCAAAATGCAAATGAGATGCTGCAGGAAAAAAATGACCTCCAGCTTTCCTACGTCCGTCCCCAGCAATTCAGTAACACTTTCTGCAAGCTTGTATTATGTAGCTGACTCTGCTGATGTCAGAAAGAGAAGCAGGTCAGATCTTATTAATACTTGAGTGGGAGACTGTCAGGAAGTCACAGAGCAGGGAAGATAAAAAAAAAAATCTCAGGACAAGACAATGCCAACCTCTTCCCATACTATGCCAAAAAAACCACCCCATATATCCAAGTCCATGAAGTCTTCAGAAGTCAAGCTCAAGAGATTCTTATCTTTATCGCATATTCTTATTGGCTTATATGTACATTAACCTGAACTAAATATTCCTTAATTTGTTATAGTCATTAGAAGTGATTAATGCAATGCATCATATACTGATTATCTTTGAAGAATTTACAAACTTGTTTAGTCCAGTATAGAAACAAAGATATTAATTGGAGCCGTTTGTTGGGAATGCATCACACTCATTTCCTAAGAGCTGCACTCATTTCCAGTTTGCTTCTTGGAAAAGTTTCACATCACATCAAAAATACCTTGGACTCAAATGATTAAAAAAAAACTTCTTCCCATTTGGAATTGTCATTTTTTATCTGGAAGGAAGCTTTTCTTCATATCTGGAATATGGGAGAAAAGTCCTTCCTGTGGTTGCATCCAATCTAGAGACTAGCTTCAGTTCCTTCCTGTGGAGTATTATAGAATTTAGCTATTTACCTACAAGTTTCTGTTTGCCTGTTGAGTTCTTTTATACTTTTAGAATTTTATCTGCTGCTTTGAATGAGATTGTTAAACAGCTAGGAGTAAATTGCTGATACGCAACGAGTAAATAAATTCTTAAGAAATACATAGGACAAGTGCTTTCCCTAGTTTTCAGAGACCTATTCAACAAATGCTAGGGACTGAACATGTATGTTCTGCATGTAGATCACCACATTGATTTATAATCCTTCTCCACCAAGTAGGGATGTGTTAGATCAGGCGCAGGAAAGGAAGACTGGACCAGCTCGATACATTTAGCAACTTTTATTAAGTACAAAGTAACGAGTCAAGACTGCTGGCGCGCTGCCGGAGCTCTCCTTATATTCGCTCCCGGCAGACGCACCGCCCCTTGACAGGGATTCAAATTTCCCGCCCGATGGCTGGCAGCCAATCAGGGCGGATGTCCTTATAAGGACATAACACTCCTCCCCCCTTAGTCCGAACTGTCAATCTCGTTCACAAAAGTCACGTAATCGCGCAGGTACGCCGGACGCCTCGGCACCCTAGCTGACCTGCGCAGTCTCACTTCTCCTCCGTCTCCGACCTGGAAGGACGGGGCTCTTTCGTCTCCTGGTTCCCTCTCCGGAACCGGGCTCGGTTCGGCTGTCGAGTGAGCGGGGCCACCCCCAGCGCCTCTGGCCGGACCGCAGACCTTGGATGGCTGGTCCTGGTGGTCTTCCTCCTGGCCTGTGGATCTCTCGCCTCGTCTCGGTTGCTCGGTTCCGACCCGGGAAGAGCGTCTGAGTCTTGGTAAGTCCATTTCTTGCTCCTCCCTGGTCTCCCGGGCGCTGTGGTTCGGTCTCGGTCCGGCTTGCTGCCGCTCGGTTGGTGGTTCCGCTCGGTTCGGGTGGTGCTGGCTTGCGTTGTTGTCGTTGTGCCATCCGACCTCGCAGGGGTGGCGTTGGTCCCCTCGGTTGGGCTGGCGTTGGTCTACCTCGTCTGGTCGGTGGTGGTCGACCTGGTCGGGGTGTTGTTGCGGCGCTACCTCTGCGGGGCGGCGGAGGTCTCCCCTGCCGGGGTGGTGCAGGTCTCCCTGGCCGGGTTGTTGTCGGCTTCCCCTTCCCCCTAGTCCCTGGTCTACCGTTGGTTGGTGCCTGGGGCCATCCGGGTCGGGGTGTCGTTTCTTGGCTGTCTTCTGTGATGGGCGGGGGTCCCCCACGTCGGTGAGTCGTGTGCCACCCTCGCCCGTGGGTCGTGGGGTGCCCGTCTTGGCTGGGTCCCGGTCTACTCGCCTGGAACTGCAGTCTCCCTGGCTGGGCTGGCATAGGCTGCTGTAACTGGTGGGGTGCGCTGCTCCTCCTCTGGGCAGGTCCCGGTCTACCTGCGGGCTGGGTTGGTGGTCCCTGGCCTTGCTGTGCCCGGTGCCCACCTGGCTGGGTTGGTGTTGCCATCCCCCGTGCGGTTGGCCCCGGTCTACCTCGCTGGGCTGCCGACGTGACAGCATCTGGTAGTGGGCTGGGCCGACCTTGTCGGGGTGGTGCTGCTCTGCCTCGCAGGGGTGTGGTAGGCCTACCTCGTCGGGGTGTCGCAGGCCTACCTCGCCGGGGTGTTGTAGGCCTACCTGGTCTGGGTGTGGTAGGTCTACCTCGCCGGGGTGTTGGAGGCCTACCTCGTCGGGGTGTTGTAGGCCTCCCTCGTCAGGCTGGTTTTCATGTGCTCCCCCCCACCTTTTTCGGAGTTGGTCGATGTGGCGTCTCGTGAACTGTCCATCTTCCAACTCGACGATGTAGGATTTGGGGCCGGTTGTGCTGGCAATTTTCCCCTTCAGCCATTTAGGAGAGCCGCTGAAATTCAGCGCGAAAATTGAATCTCCGTTGCTGAAGGCGCGAAGCGGGCGGCTGGCGGTTGCGGTCACTTCCGGGCTGTATTGGGGGTGCAGCCGGTCCAAGGGTGACCTCAACCTTCTGCCCATCAACAGTTCGGCCGGGCTCTTGTGGGTGGTGGCGTGTGGCGTGATGTGCTGGGTGAGGAGGAAATTGTCTATGCACTCTTGCCAGTCCCCCGGGCCCATCTTGGTGAGGGCCTCTTTGGTCAGTCGGACCATGCGTTCAGCTTGTCCGTTTCCGGCCGGCCTGTAAGGGGCGGACAGGGCGTGGCGGATGCCCAGTCCTGCCAGGAAGGACTCCATGGCCAGGGATGTGAGCTGGGGGCCGTTGTCTGAGACCAGCACATCCGGTAGACCATGTGTGGCAAAGAGGCGGCGCAGGGCTCGGATCGTTGCGTCTGTTGTGGTAGATGCCATGGGCACCACCTCGAGCCATTTGGAGAAGGCATCTACCACGATGAGGAGGTGTCGCCCTTGCATCGGACCCGCGAAGTCAATGTGGATCCTCGACCAGGGGTTGCTGGGGGTCTCCCACTTCGCGACTTCGGATTGCGGCGGCGCTGGGCGGACTTCTTGGCACGGGTCACATCTGGAGACCCATTGTTCAATGTCTCTGTCCATGGAGGGCCACCAGACATAACTCCGTGCCAGGGCCTTCATGCGGACGATGCCCGGATGCCCCTTGTGCAGGGTCTCTAACGTCCGCCGTTGCAGAGTGCTTGGAATCAGCACCCTGTCTCCCCATAGCAGACAGCCTTTTATGGTGGACAGCTCCTCCTGTTTCCTGGCGAACGGGCTGAACCTTTCCTCTGGCTTTTCCGCTGGCCACCCTCTGAGGATCCAGGACTTCACTTGGCGGAGTGTGGGGTCCTTTTGGGTGTGGACGGCCACATCTGCGGATGACACCGGGCAGCTGGCGTCGTCATCGATGTGAAGTAGGTGGAGCATGGGGGCTGGGTCTTCGACCGGCTTCTTCGACGGGCATCTGCTGAGAGCGTCAGCGTTTCCTATGGCTGTGCCTGGCTGGTGCACGAGCCTATAGGAGTAGCCAGCTAGGAAGATGGCCCATCTCGTCATTCTTGGGGACATGAAGGTCGGGGTTGGTTGGTCGCCTGCGAGGAGTCCCAGGAGAGGCTTGTGGTCTGTGACTATGGTGAAGCGTCTTCCGTAGAGGTATTCGTGGAAGCGCTTCACTCCAGCCACGATGGCCAGGGCTTCTTTGTCCAGCTGGCTATAGTTCCATTCTGCGCCGGACATAGTCTTTGAGAAGTACGCGATTGGGGCTTCCGAGCCATTGGGCAGTTCGTGGCTGAGAACTGCCCCCACCCCGTAAGGCGACGCGTCGCAGGTCAGTCTGATGGGGAGCGTCTCGCTGTATTGGATGAGGACGCTTTTGGACGTCAATAGTCCTTTGATGGCCCGGAATGCCGCTTCCTCTTCCTGGCCCCACTTCCAGGAAGCCGATTTCCCCAGCAGGCGGTGGAGTGGCTCAGCAACTGTGGCTTTCTGTTTTAAGAAAATGGCGTAGAAGTTGAGCAACCCAAGGAAAGCCTGAAGCTCCATTTTGTTTTTTGGGCTTGGAGCTTCATGGATTGCTTCCACTTTTGATTTGGTGGGGTGTATGCCTGTGCTATCAATGAGGAAGCCCAGGAACTCGACTTCCTGTACTCCTATGATGCACTTGTCCCGCCTGACCCTCAAACCCTTGGCCTTGAACCGCTGCAGGACAAGCCTGAGCCTTTCAAGAAGTTGGGCTCTTGAGTCACCGGAGATGAGCACATCATCGAAGTAAGGCACCACCCCTGGAACGCCTTGGAGAAGGCGTTCCATCATGGATTGGAAGATACCAGGGGCAGCGCTGACTCCAAATTGGAGGCGGTTACATTTAAATGCCCCTCTGTGCGTGACAATTGTTTGAGCCTCCGCCGTTTTGTCATCCACTGGCAGTTGCTGGTAAGCCTGGGCCAGGTCCAGTTTCGCGAAAATTGATCCAGATCCCAGGGAATGCAGCAGATGTTGCACCACTGGGACTGGGTATGCGCTCTGTGCCAACGCCTTGTTGATGGTACAACGGTAGTCAGCACAGATGCGCACAGACCCATCATGCTTCAGTGGGGTCACAATGGGGGTCTCCCATGAGGCATGATCGATCGGTTCCAGGACGCCCTGGGCGATCATCTTATCCAGCTGTTCATCTACTTTAGGCCGCAGGGCAAATGGAACTCGGCGGGGCTTGAGCCTGATTGGGGTGATTCCCTTGTCCAGATTAAAGGAGATTGGCCTCCCCACAAATTTCCCCAGCTTACCATCGAAGACTTCTTTGAACTCTTCGATGATGGAGTCGAGTTCGTCCCTGCGGATCTCGTGGATGCCCTGAAGTGAAAGTCCTAGCGGCTTGAACCACTCCACACCCAACAGGTTCGGTCGGCTGTGCTGCACGATGGTGATGGGTAGCTTTCCGTCGAAGTCGTTGTACTTCACGTGGATGGTGGCTCTGCCTAGGATTTCAATGGGGTTTCCGTTGAAGTCCACAAGTCTCGCTTTCGGGGTTTTCAGCTGGGTCCTTTTGTATGCCGGTTTCAGCTGTTGTAGGTGCTGCCAGTCCATGATGGAGTAGGCGGATCCGGAGTCTACCTCCATCTTGCACGGAGACCCCTCTGCTAGCAGCGTCACGTGGAACTTGGTGGTCCCCTCGTCGCTTGTGTGAGCAATGGTGGTGGTCTGGTGCACCGTTCTGTTTCGGGGATATTCCTCCTCCCCGCGCCGGGACTGGTTTGAGGACCGTTTGGATGTCCTCTGGTTATCTTTGCGATTTTCCCGGAATCGTGGTCTGGGCGGTTCCGGGGCTGGGTCTGTGGCTCTGCAGGCCTCGGCGATGTGGCCCCTCTTCAGGCATCGGCGGCAGGTCGCGTCCCTCCATCTGCAGTTTGCCCTGGGGTGGTCGCCTCTGCAGCTGCCGCATCGCTCTCCCCGGTCGCCATGCTGTGGGTTTTCCCGCCTGGGGGGGCGGGACACCTTGTGGACGGCCATTTCCTCATCAGACTCGGATTGAGTGGTTGCCTCGTCTGATGAGGTCGGGCCCGACTTGTGGATCTTATGGATCCCTCTTGCTTTTACCATTGCGGCGGCTGCTTTTTTTTTTTTTTTAATTTGATTTATATGCCGCCCTTTTCCGGAGACTCAGGGCGGCTTACAGTGCGTTAAGCAATAGCCTTCATACTTTTGTATATTTATACAAAGTCAGCTTATTGCCCCCACAAACTGGGTCCTCATTTAACCTACCTTAGAAAGGATGGAAGGCTGAGTCAACCTTGAGCCTTGGAGAGATTCGAACCAGCAGTAAATTGCAGGCAGCTGTGTTAATAACAGGGTGCACTAAACCACTGTAGTACCAAGGCTCTTGCTCAGACGTTTCAGCCGCTGTTGCCTCGTCGAGGACGTCTTTAAGCGGGATCCTCTTCCGGCTGAGGAACTTCTTTTGCAGTCCCACATCTCGCATTCCAAAAACAATGCGGTCCCGGATGGCATTGTCCACATTGTCGAACTCACAGTTGGCAGCGATTTGGCGAAGCGCTGCCACGAATTCCTTGATGGATTCACCTTCCCGCTGGTTTCTTTGCTGGAAGGTGAACCTGTTTGCGATGGGGGTGCCTGTAGGTGCATAGTGCTCCTGTAGGACTTCCTGCAGGTCGTTCCAGGACATCTCCTCGATGTCCCTGGGTGCCACGAGGTCAATCGCCATCTCCAGGACATCCGATCCGCAATGAGCCAGGAAGAGGGCTCTTTTCCTCTCATCGTCGAGGTTCTGGTATCCATTGCCTCGCAGGAACTGCCGGAATCGGACCATGTATGACCTCCACTTCTCCCGGGATGGGTCGAACGGGTTCAGCGCGGTCATCGGGGCTTGCGGGGTAGCCATTCTGGAAGGTCGCTGTGGTGTGGTGATTCTGTTCGGTGGGCGATCGTGCCACGAGTCTTGTTCAAGGTTCTCTCCTCTAGTCCTTCGTCGCCAGTGTTAGATCAGGCGCAGGAAAGGAAGACTGGACCAGCTCAATACATTTAGCAACTTTTATTAAGTACAAAGTAACGAGTCAAGACTGCTGGCGCGCTGCCGGAGCTCTCCTTATATTCGCTCCCGGCAGACGCACCGCCCCTTGACAGGGATTCAAATTTCCCGCCCGATGGCTGGCAGCCAATCAGGGCGGATGTCCTTATAAGGACATAACAGGATGAAAAAAAAATCTTTCAAATGTACTTTTCAGAAAGTTATATTAGTAAAGTCAGATATCCATGAAAAGAGCCTTTTTTAATAGGCATTTAATTCCAGTAAGAAAAAAGAGAATTCCAAATTGGATGATTTTCCATGGAAGAATAATGAATGAAGACTGTATTCCATGGAAAGAAAAGAGGCAACTCTTGTGCTCTCGCAATCAGTACAGACATTACATTTTCAAAAGACCCATTGACTTCCAGGAGAGAAATATAAGCAACTGTTACATAATTCTACACACCATTGCTAAGGTGTACCAATACAAATATTGGTCAGTGAGAGGAGAGAATGAAACACAGGCACCAGCTGTAGCATTGTGAAGCTTACACCTGCATATAACCTTGTAAGAGCAAGTAATTGCAAGCTCTGCATCTGGTTCTATCTCAAGGGAAATATTGATAATGGGAAGGTGATTTCAAAAAACAAAAGCCTCCAACTGGGAAGATTAATTTTGTACAGTAGCATTGAAGAGATTGATTGGACAGTAGGTGTGTATGAGTGTGTTCAAGAGAAAGAACATGACTATAACAAATCTCAGAGTGATTATGAGCATGAATTAATGAACTATTTCCAGGTTTGGAAAAGCGGACAAATGTATGCAAGTCTACCAGTTGAGTTACTCAATTCACCTTTGTTCAAAGATTATTTAATACCCTCTCAGTGCTGTAGTAAATAATATTGTAAGGGAGTAGTTGCTCCCTTGTGTGGCTCATTTAAATCTTTCTTCTTTAATGGCTGGAGAAAAGCAGAATTCTAGATGTTCTTTTAACATTTCTTTTTAAACTTAAGCAAACTTCTAAAGATAGGGCAGATGCTTCTAAAGATAGGCTCTTCCTGCTCTGCTTTTCCTCATTCTTCTAGAAATGAATTATACAATGACAATTCTCTCTTAGCCTTCTCAGATTTATCTTAGTGTCCTTTAGACTAAAAATGCTGTTCTTGTACCAAGAGAAGGACTTAGAAGAATCAAAATATTGATTTTTTTTTTAGAATCAGCATTTTTTTTTGCCAGAGAGGTGGCCAGGTTTCCTTGGGAGATATATCATATTAATACTATTTATTAAAGGCCTTGGTGACTGACCTCTGCTTCTAGTGAAGAGTCTATTTTGGGCACGAATAATTTGCTTACCTGAGATGACTCAGACAAAATTATTGTTTGAACTAAAGCAGTTTACAACAAAAGTGAAAATGAAGAGCAAACGAGAGCAACAACTTTTGAAAAAGTAGCGAAGTCTCACCTATAGAACCAGTTTGTGATTTCATCACATACTCAGGATAAAAATCCCTTGCCTGTAGTGTCACAGATGGTAGAAGAAAATGGTACTGCATTTCTTAACAGGAAAGTTCTCCAACTATGTCCAGGGGCCAAAGGAGCATTGCAGAATTGGCCAGATCTCATGTTATTTTTTTTCTATGTGAAAAGATTAAATATTGCTTGACAGTCTTCTGCAGTGCTTGCCTTAGAGAGCCTCAGGGCAAAGAATCTCTCTTTCCTGCAAATCCGTGGCTTTCACATTTCTATTTTCCCTTTCTTTCTGGAGATTAAATAACACAATCCAGTATGAGAATGAGTATCCATCACTCCTGAGCCCTTGGGAAGATCTGATTTAGCAAAAAGTTTCCCACAAAATGTTGCCAAGTGATGACTGCAAACTTTGATTAATATGAGGTCACATGACTGGTTTGATTGAATCCTGGTTGTTTTCTTTGCAGCTTTTCATAACTGAGAACTCCCAGAGCATTAGCAACCTTGCTCTGTTAACCCTGTTGTGAGTTAGACTACTACAATTTAACAAACCCAATACTTCAAGGAAGCCTCTGATATGAAAGTTGGAATCTGTTTAGGAATCACACTTACACAGCCTAATTTTTAAAGTGTGAGTACAGAAGTTAGGAACAATTTGCTCTTTTTAGCTACAACTGGTATATTTATTTGTTCACCAATTTATTTGCCACATTTTAATTCCATTTTTTTTCAATTAAAAACACATTTAACAGATAACAAGCTTATAAAAAACAGATTTAAAAATACAATCTATATTTAAATTTATGAAGGTTTTTTTTTAAAAAAAAACCTATTGTGTATAATTTAAAACATCATTTGATCAGAAATGTGAGAACTAATAGGAGACCAACTAAATAAAGCCAGGAAAAGCCAAATGAAAACCATGTTTTTATCTTATTCCTGGAAACAGAGATAGTTCAAGCCAGACTGACTTCAAGCAGTAAGGAATTCCATGTTTTATGGGAGAAGCCACAAAATGACCTGCCTTTATGTGGATACTAGGAGAACTTCATAAAAGGAGGTAAGCCTCCTTATCTGTTCTACATGCTGGGCAAGTTCAAGAGGAAATTAGCTCTCTGTTAAGTACTTTGCTTCCACATTTTTGAGGGTTTAAAGATCCTATCCAACATCTTGTTTGTTCCTGGAAACAAATGGACCATTATATTTTGACTTACAATGATGTGAAAACTGAAGTCAGTGAATGTGCCATGGTATGTTTCAGATCAGTGAACAGTTTGAAAGTGGTCCAGTAATGTCAGCCCAAGAAGGTATATCCAACTATGAAAACATTGCCATATAGAATAGGATGCTTATCTTGCAAATCTGACTGAGTGTCCCCCTTCCTCCCTTTATCTTCATGTAAACTAGGGTGGACATTTACTCAAACTAATTTCTTGAACTGGCTTGAGACTCTCTTATATAACCTGGTAGCAATAATACACAGGCATCTAATAATTTCAGCCAATGTGCTGATTCCCTCCAAAGTACTTAAATAATTTCATTGTGAAGGCCATGTGGTAAACACTTTGGGAGATTGGGTGAGAAGATGCTGCCTAGGGAATGGTCAGATGATAGCCTGCAGCTGGATAGTGTGTGGGGCAAGAGGTGCAGAACGCATCCTCCCTACTTTCTTGGGTTGTAAAGTAGATGGTGAAAGACTTATACTTTCAGCCTTGAAGATTGTGTTAATGTAGCTTTACCATAAAGCAGAATTTGCTCCTCTGGCTGTGTTTCCTATCTGATCTACCTGGTAAAATTGATATTCATCAGACTGACTCGATCAGGACTGGATGAGCATAAGCAATCTCTTTGGCAGAGACCCATCTTAACTTTGAGACAGGCCACCAAATAATATGTACTCCAACCTATAATATACTTTTTCCACATGACACTGTGCCAGCCCTTTGAGATAAGTCAGGTCAGGGGAAAAAATGCCACCAAGGCTACAGTAACTCTGCTTCATTGTTATAGGTTATGATAACAGACTCTTGAAAGCCTGGTGGAATTTCCATATTCCCCTCTTAGAGCAAAGAGAATAAAGGTGGGATTATCTTGGGGTTTTTTCCCCTCACTCCCTCTAATTTCCTAGGGCTAAGTTGATGTTTACTCAAACACTCTTGCATTCCTTCTTCAAGGTTATCTCTGTATTTCTCCATACACTCTGTCTGTGGCTCTAGACAGGACTGAATATGTGAATATAACGACAGCCATATATTCTTGTTGGCTGACTTAAAATACATGCACACATAACAGAGTTTCTCTTGAACTATCCTGTCCAGACTGGAAAAAATTAAGACAGTTGAACAGACAGAATCCACAAGCCGTATATCCCATTAGAAAGACCAGATGACTGAGCATATACTCCATAGTAGGAAAGTATTTATCAGGAAAAGTATTATATATTGTCATGCTGATTCTCTATAAGCACCAAAGTCATATAAGCTGACTGCATGACTGATTTTTCAGAAAAAAATTACTCTGTCTTAGAAAAATTAGGAAAAGGGCCTCTTTCTTTCCCAAATTTCTTGGATTATGTCCAGCTCTTGCTGCCTCTAGAAA